ATATTGTTAAGTACCTCTTTAGTAAATGCAGATACAAAATATTTATTAAAAATACTACTCATCTCTTCAACACTATCTGTTATTTGACCTGTCTCAGTTTTTAATGGACCTATCCTTTCCCTAGTCTTAGTCCGATATAACTGAAAAAACCCTTTAGGATTTGTCTTTGCTTGCCCTGCTATGCGAACTTCATAGTTTCTTTTTGCTTTCCTTATCTCTTTTTTAACATTTCTAACCAGTTGTACGAATTCCTGTTCTAAAGTGACCTCCCCATTTTTAATCCTTTTGTACCAAGCTCTCTTTTTACCTATAAGGCTCTTCAAATTCTGCATGAGAAATCACACAGCAGACGACGCTACAATTACGACCACATCCCTCACCAAAATAGCTCGTATGGGCCAATAGCAGCTGCCTCGTATGGGCCAATAGCAGCTGCCTCGTATGGGCCAATAGCAGCTGCCTTCTATGGGCCAATAGGAGCTGCCTCCTATGGGCCAATAGGAGCTGCCTCGTATGGGCCAATAGCAGCTGCCTCGTATGGGCCAATAGCAGCTGCCTTGTATGGGCTAATAGCAGCTGCCTTGTATGGGCCAATAGCAGCTGCCTTGTATGGGCCAATAGCAGCTGCCTTCTATGGGCCAATAGCAGCTGCCTTCTATGGGCCAATAGCAGCTGCCTCGTATGGGCCAATAGCATCTGCCTCGTATGGGCCAATAGCATCTGCCTCGTATGGGCCAATAGCAGCTGCCTCCTATGGGCCAATAGTTGCTGCCTCTTATGGGCAAATAGCTGCTGCCTCGTATGGGCCAATCCTGGTCACTAATTTCTGTAAATGAATAATTGACCACAAGTTTATTTTGAAAAGGAACCTAAGAAGTCGTTTGAAGATTCCTTGATGGACGAAATAATGCTGTGGCTAGTGCTGTGAACATCGTGAACAGCATTGAATCACTGATATTTGAACATTGTACCCAGTCATTATCCCACTCAGGCTGTTCTATAATACTATCACGGCTAAATAATACAGGTTATATATATATTTTTACATTAGGCGATGCTGTGGTCACACGCTGAACAGCAGAGCTAAGCGCTCATGCTGCGAGCGCCAGCCTTGGTTGCTGACTCACTACTGAGGCTCTGACACCCAGCAATGTGGACCATGATTTTTTTTAAAGATGGCGTATGTTTACAAGAGCCCTGAGGAAGCTGATGTGAACCCCATGTATCCGCGGGAGTTTTGAATGGAACGTGAAAAATAAAAACACCTGGAGGCGCGTTGCGCACCCGAAGCCTGGGCCTGCAGGCGCGTTGCACAGTTAAAGGGTTAAAGTCGACTATAATCACAAAGGAGGATTGACAACGAGAAAGCAGGAGACGGAGAGCATGGAGAATAGCACAAAGTTCCGCTGTGAAGATGCTAGTCTCTGAAGGGAGACGACACATATAAGTGCGGTTAGGAAAAACAACGGAGTAGCCCACACTGTCTACAGATTTGGACCCCTCGGTCAAGATTGAAACGAAGCGGGAGTGAGAAAAGTGCTCAAGAAAAAGGCAGTGTAGAAAAGTAGAAGTAAAAGCTTTAGTAATGTGGGTCAAGGATGTACAAAACTTTTGAAGGGGGACCCACTACAGGGGCAAGGAAGGAACAATACGAGGAGAAATATGAGACGAATGGAAAGAGTCCTGTAAGCGAGACAGCCGGACAAAGATGGAGGTGGGGAAGAGGTACAGGAACTACAGGAGGGGTAAAAGTGAAAGCACGACAGAGGCGAGAGGAAGGATGTTGCAAGGACTGCACCGGATAGCGAAAACACTATCGATCACGTCGGTCCTGGATAGGAAGCCAGTGTCAACATACAAGCCGAGTGCGGGAGTCGAACAAAAGGCACAAGAGCCGAGGCCAACCCAGCATGGTGCAAATCATCAAGACGGCGAAGAGAAGGAGAAGCGGACGAGTATGCAGGGCAACCATAATCGAATTTAGACAGGACGGGAGAGGAATGAAGAAAGAGGAGCGTACACCTATCCGCCCCTCCCCCCCAAGAAGTATGGGACAAAACCTTAAGGAGGGAAAAGGCCTTAGAGCATTCAGCCCAGAGGTAAGAGATATGGGCCAACCAAGACAAACGTGTGTCAAAGATTAACTCCAGAAGCTTAGCAGAATCCCTGTACACAAGGAGAAGTAGCCCACGAATGTGGGCCACTTCTTTGATACATAAAGTGACAAAGTGGGACGAAGAATGACACGCTTTTGAGTAAAAGTCATTCCACAAGTCATAGACGATGAGAATTTGAAACCATGATCAGTGGCCCAGGAGGACACGGAATCAATCACAAGTTGAAGCCGTCATTGAAGGAGAGGCGAATCATCACCCTGACATCAAAGGGTAAGATCATCAACAGAGAGCGGAGAAGACGCCAGAAGGAAGAGAGGAAAGAAGACCGTTGAGGGAAATTAGAAAAATAGTAGTACTCAGAACCGTACCCTGGAGTAAACCCTCATACTGCCAAAAAGGGGCAGAGAGCATGGTACCAAGACGCACACGATAGGAACGACGAGATAGGAACGACGAGAGAGGAAGCTCTGAAGGAAGAGAGGGAGATTCCCACAAAGGCCAAAAGAATGAAGTTGAGACAGAATACGATACTGCCAGGGAGTGTCGTAAGCCTTTTCCAGGTCAAAAAGGACGACAACAACAGAGGTCTTCGCAGCAAAAGCAGTACGAATATGGACCTCCAAGTTCACCAGGACATCCATTGTGCTGCGGCACTTGCGAAAACAGAAGGGAAGGTGGTGATAGTGTTCTAAGAACCACATCAAACAAACGTTAACCATACGTTCAAAGAGCTTGCAGACAACTCATGAGGGCAATAGGGCAGAAGTCCTTGGGGGATGACCCGAGAGACCCTGGTTTCCGAACAGGGAGGACAACAGCATCGAGCCAGTCTTCAGGGTCTGACGACGACTCCCATACCCGATTGAACAGATTCGGTAAATACTGAGACATGCACGGAGAGAGATGACGAAGCATTTCATAATGAATGCCATCGGAGCCCGCTGCCATAGAACGGCAAAGGGCTAGGGCAGACAGAAGCTCAGAGAGAAAGAAGGGATCATTATAGGGAAGGCGAAGATAAGTACAGAAATTTAAAGTATGAGATTCAAGAACAGGCTTACTAAGAAGGAAGAATTGGGAAAGATGAGAACCAGAACTAACAGATGAAAAACGGGGACCCAGTTCGGTCGCAACCTGCAACGGGTCCGCCACAAGAGCACCATGGAGGTGAAGGACAGGCGAGACATCGGGAACGAACTTACCGCAATCTTGCGGATACGCATCCAGACCAGTGGGAGACGAGACTTCCAGCAAGCACGTTTAGCCGCACGGATGATCCTTCGGGCCACCGCATTCGCCTTCCAAAACAAAACAAAAGGAAAGACTCAACTGTCTGCTGGCTGCAATGTATCTTCCAGGCTGCACGCTTACAGCGGACAGCCCGAGCACAGTCCACATTCCACCAGGGAACGCACTTCCGCGTTCCCCGAGAGAAGAGCGAGGAATGGAAAGGCGAGGAAAAAAGTAAGGGGGCAAAGGCAACATCGGAGCTAATCAAGAAAGCAGAAGAATTATGGGCAACAGCTGAGGGGGGGGGGGAGAGAATAGCCACGGAAGCGACCTGGACGACCACCAAGCATTGGCTCCTGGAGACACACAAAGGGGGCGAAAACTGTGAAATGAGAAGTTGAAGATCAAGGAAATTACCGTAATATCCACGGATGTTCCAATGAAGAATCGACATCGGAAAAGAGAGAGAGAAGAGAGAGCAACATACAGCAAAGAAGAAACAAAGGTAAAGAAGGAATACAGCACGTTAAAAAGCACAGGGTCAGGATCAGCGAAGTCAGCGCAGGAGAAGAAGAGCGAGAGCGAACAACACGACCACCAGGAGAACGATGGACATCGGCCCTCATAGTCAGGCGGCGTGGAGAGACAAGAGACGGAGGAGAATAAGGGAAGGAGGACCAGAGGGAGAGGAGAAAGACGACACAGGAGACATGACAGACTGGGTAGAAAGAAGGGGAGCCCTAGACAGAACCAGGAAGGGGACCCTCCAAGACAGGTTGGAGGGAAACAGGGGAGGTGGTGATGGGCGTGTCCGGGTCTAAGGCTTGGAAACTGTTGCGAGACTGAGGAAGGTGGGAAGGACGAGGAGAGGAAGAGCGCACCAAGCAAGCATAGGAGTCGCCAGCGAATGGGGGGGAGACAATGAACTTGGCGCCGAGCCTCAGGAAAAGACAAACGGTCCCGGTGCTTCAAGTGGAGGACAGCCGCCTCAAGTTTGTAACGAATACACGCATGGGAGAAGGTAGGGTGGGCCTCACCACAATTGAGGCAGCGGGCCTGGGGAGAAGTGCACTCCAACTTAGAGTGATCCTCGCTTCCCCACAGGGGACAGAGAGAGACAGGACTAGAGCATTTGAGGGCACCATGCCCAAACCTCTAGCACTTACTGCAGAGCAGAGGAGATGCAATATACTCCTGAATATACTCCGCATCTGGCACCAGCAAGAATAACAGAGGGCGGAAGGGACCTACCATCAAAGGTAACCTTCACAACCTGAAGGGGCAGACGGCGATGACCACGAGGGGGACGAGTAAACGTCTCCACCTGGAGGACAGAATAACCCTGGGCCTCGAGGATATGCTTGATATCCTCGTGGCAGTCCTTGAGATTCCTAACACCAGTCGCAACATGGTGCGGGAGGAGAACAGTGCGAACACTAGCATTCAACCGAGCGTTCTTCGGAACCCGAACAGGGGTTTCGCCAAGGCAGGATAAGGCGGCCAAGCGGGTGGCCGCACCATGAGAGGGAGCAGCAACGACACGGGTACCAAGACGGGTGGGGTTGAAGGTGACAGAAGCATCTACAGAGTCAACAAGATGCCTATGAAGAGAAATCGTCAGGAGGAGTGGAATCTAAAGGATGGAGGTCAAAACACTTAGTCCACGTAGCAGGACCAAGCATGGAACGAATTAGTATAGGAAGGGAGCATACGAGAGCAGCCGTGGCGGGGACGGAGATGAGAACCTTTAGAAAGAGACGGGTCAAAAGGTGAAGTAGTCACAAGAAGAGATGGAGCCGTGCAAGGGGAGAAGACGGTCACCACAGCAGGCTTGGGGCTCGACCCAACCACAGAGGAGGGAGGCGAGCAGAGAGGAAGAGTCCGGTCTTCCTCTCTACCACTACAGGACACTAACGAGTCCTGTAGTGGGGGCTACAGATCCCGGTCTTCCAGGACGGTTGGACTCAGGGGCCTGGTCGCCCACCCCATGAGCCTGGGTAAGAGAAGTCATGCCGTCATCCATGCAGCAAACCAATATCTAAAGAATGGGACCTGGAAACAAGGGATACCATCTACCAGGGCAGCCAGGGAGGCCAAGCGCGGGCCAGTGAAGGAAGGGTGCGTCGTCCCCAGCGGTGCTCCCCCCTTTTCAACAGGGGAGTCCTACTACTTCGTCCATTCTCCCACACTGGTGCGAAGACCCCAGTCCCCCTATCACCCCAGCCTGGACACCCAACCATCCACTAAAGGCAGCTTCTCACAGGCGACCTCTCCAGCGGGTGGTCCGATGGCTCACAAGGCCCCTACATGGTGCCCTTCAGCATGTACACCACCAAAAGAGGTGGCAGGAGAGGGGGCACAGGCAACCCACACCGGTCCCAGGGAGTTGTATGGGAGCCCCTCACCATGGCAAGGAGGCACCACGGAGGGGTTAACTAGTCTAAGCTCAGCGTCCAGACCATAGTTTATCACAATTCATACCAAGTACTCACCGCGCGTGTTCCAGTGGTGACAGTCTGGACGGGGAGGGAAGTGAGGGTGACAGCCACACTCTGGAAAGCCTGATCAGTGTGGGTGACGAAGCTGTCGATGGTGAAGAGCTGGGTGACAGTGGGGTTAAACAGTGCATCCACTCTGCTCACTTGAGAACTGCCATACCTTGCACCAGCATAAGGAGCCAGACCGCTGCTGCCAGAGGTAGCTCGAGGTCCACTGCTAACCTGTTCAGCCCTGTCACCGCTGCCTACTCCTTGACCAGAAGGACCAGCTGGACCGCCGCCGATACCTTGGCCGAGGTTACTATCCACTCCTTGATCGCTGCCAAGGCCTAATACAGCACCCAGAAGTGGAGTGCTGCCTATGCCCGGCCACCACTTACAACTGGACCGCTGCCTTGTTGACCCGATGACCCCCGAGAGCTGGTACTAGCCGTACCTCGGGTCTGACTGCCAGAGCCAGGCTGATGGGTTAGAGGAAGGCAAACCATTTAAAAGTACATGTAAATACGCCATTTTAAGTCTTATAATACATAAAGAAATTGCAGGTCTAGCTGTATACAGGCACTGGTGCGCCGTAGTGGGTATATACAAGTCTTATAGTACAGTAATGTATATCAATTAACTGCTCCAGAACTAATATTCAAATTTACACATTTATAAAAGGATGTGCCAGATGTTACATATCTGTAGGATTAAATGTAAGCAGTACCAAATAGTTGGTTGTAAAATGCCAATTGTTTATCTTCCACCCATAGTGAATGATGGAAACAATTCCTAGACTCCTTACAAACCTTAATGTGACCCTTTACCACCGTTTGAGCCTTCATGGTTTAGGAGTGCCTTAACCATTAGTATAATTTTCTCTAATGTATTTAAAATTTTACCACATTAAAAGGGTTATGATAAAGCTATGTTTTGACTGGAAACTTTTGAGTGGTATTAGTTCCCAATTATTTAGGAATGAAAGATCTATTACATAATATATATGAATCTCCAACAATGCAATTTAATGGTTATAAAATTCAGAAGGAACATGGTAAACTAATATCAATGTAACTAAAAGTTTTAGGAATTGTTTAGGCTGCGACTACGTTAGCACGACATTCGTGACTGATACAGATTTTTCCCCGCAATTTAGGCAAATTAAAAACCAATTTTCACAAACAAATTTGGAAGGTGACATTTACTCACGGTAGGAAGTTGTGCGACGACTAGATTTTGTGCTATTGCTAAGGTCTTTCATATTAACAGTACCCAGGAACAGGAAGACATCTGAGAGAAGAAGAAAAAGTTAGTACATTAAAGTTAAATCAATAGAATCATAATGCGATACAACTTTGCGCAAGAAGTGCTAGAGGGTGGTTGTAATTTACCTTTAAGAGTGTGAATAGACCGACGATCAATTAGAGTGAAAACTATTTAGTTTGTTTTTCCTCCAACTATCAGGCGTTAATTAAACTTAAGCTTGCATTTCTTATAGCTTTGTAGATAAATTAGAACAAATTATCGGTGGGCGAGTATGTTGAGAATATAAGAGGACTAAACACAAACCACCCAGATACCACCTTTCTTGTGGAACAAAAGTAAAACACCAACTAACGTCACACAACACCGGTTCCATAACATTCATGGATTTTAACCAATAAAGTAAACTATCCTTTTATACACAAACCTTGAAGCACAGAAAGAATGTTATCGCCTCAAAAAGTTGGGGATTAAATGACAAATGCAGGAAGGTGGCCCGACTCGTTGCCTTCCCCACACACTATAAACATACTCACTAACAAGAGACTATGGAAGAAGGATAGGAAAGCTCTCTATAAAATATATAGATCATGTAACACCCAACCCAACGCTCGCCCGGCCTAACAGTGCCATCTATTGACGAGTGCGCCAACTACAGGAGAAAGTGGTACTATTGCATTCCCTTCCCTCTAACATTACATCATTGACTTTATTTATTGGAAAAGTTCTTTGTTTCTTAATTATGTTGTGTTAAATAGATTGTTGATAACTTCATTAATTACAATGTTTTCACTTATTTTACCGTGTTTAACCTCCTATATAAAAACAAATATTAAACAAATATGAGTCCATAATGTCCGTGACAAATAAAGAGTCTCGCGGGACTGACCTCAGTCCTTTTAGACGGCGCTTCTTCAAACTTTTCGTTCGTGACCCAGTTTAATGTTATGCAATAACCTCACGACCAACTGACATATATCATGTACAAATGTATAGTACTGGCACACTCATTTTGCGTGAACAGAAACGTACTATTATATGTTATGATACATACATATTTATACATTCATATATATGTGTGTTCATACATTGATACATGAAGTGATTACATGTGCCTTTATGTGAAGTCTGATTGAATTCTAACACTTAGGAAGACACAAATACTCTTTATGAATTAGTGGCCTTAATAAATGTAGTAGTAGTAGGCATCCATCAGTTTCAGGAGACTATGTAGTTACGCCTTGTGTCGGCCTGGTCTGGAGTGGCCTCACCAGGACGCAAATAAATGTACATACTCTGCAACAGTATATTATAATAAACCCCTGTATAATATTCCTATGTATATTTTTTTATTGGCATTATTATGATTATTAATATTATTATTATTATTATTATTATTATTTTTATAATTATTATTAGTATTATTATTACTGTTATTATTATTAAATTTAGCAATCAAAATTAGAGGAGAAATTTGCAATTAGGCCTACTTGTTCAGTGTGTTTTGTGAGCGTGTTTGTTCCTTGTTTCCTCCTGGTCCAATCTGGCTTGCAGGACAAGGCCACACGCATATCGGCGGAAGGGTTAAGGCGGTGTCTCTCCTTGGACTTGAGTCTTGTTAGGGTTGAGAAGCCAGCCTCGTACAAGTAAGAGGTCAAAGAACATAGCAAGTCCAAGTGCAAGATACTTTCTTTACTTAAGTTGGAATATTGCAGACGATGAGTCACAATAACGTCGCTGACGATATGACGACCAAACCGCACATCAGAAAACTGCGGTTTTCCGCAGTTTTACATCGGTAAGAAGCGACGGTAAGAACATCGGTAAGAAGCGACGGTAAGAACATCGGTAAGAAGCGACGGTAAGAACATCGGTAAGAAGCGACGGTAAGAACATCGGTAAGAAGCGATGAAGTTCCGGTCGATCTTGGACCATTGTCAGGTCGTAATCTCTGGATACCGTAATCTCCGTATTCCTTGGATACACTGATCCAGAATGATGACAATGAGAATGTCTTGTGGCTGATTCTTAATGAATTATCATTTGTGATACAGATTATCTCTTCTTCCTGATCAGGAGTTAAGTTTTAGCAACAACATAATCTGGGGTTTCTAATGGAAATGGGTCTCTTCCAGTGCTTATATTTCAGATATACTTCAAATAATATTCATATACCATATATAATTCTCGCCTGGAAAATATTGTTCAAAACTCGCTGTCATAGACGGAAGATGTTTTTATGTCTTGATTTCAATTCTTTACACATTAATAGTTTATATTGTTTTCCTCAATGTGTAGCAAGGTGAAGCTGTCGTAAACAGGTTTGTCTGCTTTAAGACCTGCTTGCAAAACCATTACTGATCTCTTGAATATCTTCATCTGTGTTTGAATACATCATTTTCCCTCCCGTGGTGTTATAGATCAAGTTCTTTGAGCTTATAGAAAATGTTTGTTAAATATGACAGCTTTACTACCCACCCATCATTGGAAAATAACTTCGTCAATGGAGAATTTCTATAATAAAGGAAAATATAAGTAAGTAATTATCAAAAGAAGGCACCAAACCGGGAAGGCTATGTAGCACCATCAAAGACGCAAAATAATCAGAGGGCGCTAAATATCACCAAGGATGCCAATACGAGAACAAAAACGCATAAGGCGAACGATATCAAAAGTATCCGAGTCACCAAGAATTCTATCGAGGGACAGGTGACCGCGAGGGGCGGTCGGAAAGCAAGACACACGCTCGTCCTGGAAGTCAGGACATTCAAGAAGGACATGCACGACCGTAAGAGGGACAATGCAACTAGGACAATAAGGAGCAGGGCGGCGCTCCATCAAGTGACCATGGGTTAAGCGAGTATGGCCAATACGCAACCTCGCCAGAGCTGTTTCCCACCGCCGGTTACGGTGGAAGGAGGACGGCCACGAGGAAACACAACATTTAAGAGTACGTAGCTTGTTACCAGTAACAGACAACCAAGAAGCCTGCCAACGGGTAAGAACTGAGGAATGGATAACTGGGTAAAAGTCGGAATACGGAATGCCTTTACGAGAGATGGGACAAGAGCGGACAGCTTCCTTAGCGGCAGCATCCGCACGCTCATTTAAAGACACACCAATATGGCTGGGAACCCAACAAAACTCAACCGACTTAAATTTACTGTGAACGAGAAACAGCCAATGCTGGATCTCGACAACTACCGGATGAACCGGATTAAAGGACCCGAGAGCCATGAGGGCACTACGAGAGTCAACAACAACCACAAAGGAAGACTGACAACGAGAAAGCAGGAGACAAAGAGCATAGAGAATAGCATAAAGTTCTGCTGTAAAGATGCTAGTCTCCGGAGGCAAGCGACACATATAAGTGCGATCAGGAAAAACAACAGAGTAGCCAACACCGTCCGCTGACTTAGACCCATCGGTGAAGACAGAAACGGAGCGGGAGTGAGAAGAAAAGTGCTCGAGGAAAAGGCGTTTTAGAACCGTAGGAGGGGTAAAAGCTTTAGTGATACGGGTCAAGGAAGTACAAAACCGCGGAAGAGGGACCCTCCACGGGGGCAAAGAAGGAACAACACGAGGAGAAACATCAGAAATACGAACGGAGAGAGAATCCTGTAGGCGAGATAACCGGACAGAAAGAGGGAGGTGGTGAAGAGGAACAGGAACCGCAGGAGGGGTAAAAGTTAAAGCACGACAGAGGTGAGAGGAAGGATGTTGCAAGGACCGCGCAAGATAGCGAAGACAGTAGCGATCACGGCGGTCCTGGAGAGACAGGAAGCCAGTGTCAACATACAAGCTAAGGATGGGAGTCGAACGAAAGGCACCAGAACTGAGGCGCAACCCAGTATGGTGCAAAGCATCAAGACGGCGAAGAGTAGAAGGAGAAGCAGACGAGTAAGCAGGGCAACCATAATCGAGCTTAGACAGGACGAGAGAGGAATGTAAAGCAAGGAGTGCGCGCCTATCTGCCCCCCAAGAAGTATGGGACAAGACCCGAAGGAGGGTAAGGGCCTTAGAGCACTCAACACGGAGGTAAGAGATATGGGGAGACCAAGACAAACGAGTGTCAAGGAATAACCCCAAAAGCTTCGCGGAATCTTTGTATTCAAGGGGATGACCATAAAGCGACAAAGAGGGACGAAGAACAACCCGTTTCCGCGTAAAAGTCATGGCACAAGTCTTAGAAGTAGAGAACTTGAAGCCATGACCTGTGGCCCAAGACGACACGGCATCAATTGCAAGTTGAAGCCGGCGTTGAAGGAGAGGCGAATCATCACCCTGACAACAAAGGGTAAGATCATCGACATAGAGAGCGGAGAAGACACCCGAAGGAAGAGAGGAAAGAAGACCATTGAGGGCAACAAGAAAAAGAGTAGTGCTCAGAACACTACCCTGGGGCACACCTTCGTATTGCTGAAAAGAGGGAGAGAGAGCGGTACCAAGGCGCACCCGAAAGGAACGACGAGAGAGGAAGCTGCGGAGAAAGAGAGGGAGATGACCACGAAGGCCAAAAGAATGAAGTTGAGATAGGATATGATAACGCCAAGTGGTGTCGTAAGCCTTTTCTAGGTCAAAAAGGACGGCAACAACGGAGGTCTTCGCAGCAAAAGCAGTACGAATATAGACCTCCAAGTTCACCAGGACATCTGTCGTGCTGCGGCACTTGCGGAAACCAAATTGAGAAGGGGAGAGGAGGTGATGGTGTTCCAGGAACCACATCAGACGAACGTTAACCATACGTTCAAAGAGTTTGCAGACACAACTCGTGAGAGCAATAGGGCGAAAGTCCTTAGGGGAAGTACCCAGAGACCCCGGTTTGCGAACAGGGAGGACAACGGCATCGAGCCAGTCCTCAGGGACTGACGACGACTCCCAGATCCGATTATACAGACTCAGTAAATACTGAGACGTGCTCGGAGGGAGATGGCGAAGCATCTCATAATGAATACCATCGGAGCCCGCCGCCGTAGAACCGCAGAGGGCCAGGGCAGAACGAAGTTCAGAGAGAGAGAAGGGATCATTATAGGGAAGCTGAAGATGAGTGCAGAAATCTAAAGGACGAAACTCAAGGACAGGTTTACGAAGAAGGAAAGATTGGGGAAGATGAAGACCAGAGCTAACAGAAGAAAAATGGGAACCCAGTTCGGAAGCGACCTGCAACGGGTCCGCCACAAGAGTATCATGGAGGTGAAGGACCGGTGAAACATCGGGAACGAACTTACCCGCTATCTTGCGGATACGCTTCCAGATCTGGGCCAGAGGGGTCTCGGACGTAATTGTCGAGACATAAGACGCCCAACATTCACGTTTAGCCGTACGGATGGCCCTACGGGCCACCGCACTCGCTTTCCGAAAGAAAAGAAAAGAATCGGACGTCTGCCTACGGCGGTGCCTCTTCCAGGCTGCACGCTTACAGCGGACAGCCCGAGCACAGTCCGCATTCCACCAGGGAACGCACTTCCGTGGACCCCGAGAGGAAGAGCGAGGAATAGAGCGGAGGGCAGCGTTG